AAAGCAGAAGTACAAACAAATAAAAGTCAAACAAATAAACGGAACACGACGACTAACAAAAGACTAAACAAAATTCAAGCAATAGAACACAAACCAGTAAGAAGACACAATAACCCACTAACCACCCAAATTGCGACACCAACCCATCCAAGAATAATTGAAGCCTTTAGCACGAGCAAGAAGCTAGCAAAAAGAAATCAATTGAATGTCGAAAAATAAATCCCGGTCTAGAGGAGGAGGATTCTTTGAAAACACCGTCTGGTTTCGAAAATTCCAAATGATGTAAAGCCCACACCAAAAAACCGCCATCCATAGATCAACACGAGCCTATAACTGAAGGGTGTGATATCAAGTCAAGAAGATTTGAGGTTGGGTTTAAAGAACTATTGTGAAGACCCCATCATTTTAACAACTTTTCACAGACATGTTGAACCTTACTACAACTGACAAGACAATGATCGATGACTTCAACGTCTCGCCGCATCGAGGACATAAGACGAACTTAGATCCATTCCTCGATAAACCAAAGAGATCGCACCGGAAGCTTCCCTAATCCTAATCTCCGAAGGAAGATACCAACTTTGCTTGGGAGAAGTGTGCAAGGGATAGTTGGTTGAATCTCTACAAAAGGATGATGAAAGTAGTTTTGAGTCACTTCTTTAAGTCCTTTGTCATAAAACTTCCCCTAAACGTGTAACTGTCATACTTATTTATCACGGTCCGACCTGCTAAAAGAATAAGAAGACAACAAATCGTTAAGAAAATCAAGATCCCCAAGCAAACACCCATGAGGGGGCCGACGCTAGCTAGCACCAGACATTCTCCCCATCCCGTCAATATTATTAAAAAATTATTTTTTAGTTAAATAAAAATGTAGTAATTATATATTTGTATAACTATACATCTTTTTTATTGTATACATTTATCTTGAAAAGAAAGAAATATGATATTTTAGAGTAAAAAAGCTAATAAAATTAATCAAAATGATTTTTAAAATGTCGTACAATTATGAAGCATTAAAAGAAAGCAACTCAACTTTTAATCGAGGTCATTTATGATTTTATATCAACTTTGATGTAAATAATCAATATATCATTTCGTTCAAATTTAATTTTAAAATGTTTAAATGAAAGAGTATTACAAATTTGAGGGGGGTTCATAATTAAAAATAATAATATAAAAAATATTCTTTAAAAAAAAATATATATATATATATATATATAGAGAGAGAGAGAGAGAGTGAGAGAGAGAGAGACTTGAGATTACGTGAAACCAACTTGTTTTCGTGAGATTCATGTGACAACTTTTTTATAATTGAAACTTAGCAACAATTTTTTTTTTTTTTACAATTGAGTTCATAATTAGTACACATATGAACTATTTAACTTTGAATTAGTGTATCTTGTAAACTGTAACTTTAAATACAATTGTAAACTTAAGTGTGGGTGACTTAATATTGCGCTAGAGACAAGAGTAGAAACTGTGGCGGTCGAGTGTTAAGGAGGAACGGTACGTCGAGAGGAACAGTAAGTTGAGGAGGAGGTGGGATGAGCAATTAAAGATGTGTACAGAGCCTTAGACATTTTCAAGGACATGACATCTGATAAGAGTTAACTTGAAGACACAAATTAGGGTATTATATTTAGGTGCAAGGACTTATAGCTGGTATGGATAGAAAGAATAGAGTTGGATAGGTTGAGAGAAGGTTAAGGTTGGGAACTGACAAATAAGGTAATACAGTCTTGTTATTGGTTATCTTTTTATAATTGGATTGTCTATTTATATAACTATCACAAGTACAAAAAATGTACCTTTATAACATAAGTCATTAGACAGTTTTTCATTTATAAATTGTTGTTATTTTTACAAAGTTGTCACAGTTGTTTATTATAAAGTTGACTCAAAATGAGAAATAAAATATGTAAGAGGTGATTATTTACACTTTGTTTATAGCTTCGTGTTTGATGGTTACAAGTGGCAAAGGGCAAAGGTCCCCGGCATGTCTACAAAGATGGTTTTAGAAGTTTCAGAAGTCGTTTACTAAACGATTATCGAGAAGAGTCAATACTCTTACTTATTTTATCAAATAATATATTTGGTCATCAAAATAAATTGTAAGATTCTCGGTCCCTATTGTGCCTCTTACCGGGTAAAATTCTTAGTTCTTGTCATGCTCACTAAGTACGGTAAGTAACACCTGACAAATGCTTATTAGATAAGAGTTTAGCTAACGACCCCTTAATAACATATTCCAGTTCAATCCAATGAATTTTTAGAGTATTCTATCAAATGACATGTCGATCATATTCCACAAGAGCCTTGTAGAATTCTACAAGGTTCTTAGTCTGTGCCATTTATCTCACACCGAGTGAGGCATTTTCATTTCATAATCTTGAGTTTTCATGTCAACTTACGTACACCTTAACTAATTTCACAAGGTCCTGAGTTAACATCAGTACAAACCTCCGGTTGATTGGTATTGCTTTGAATCCGTCAACTTAATTTGGTAAACTGCCATTAAATCTCATCTAGCTCTAACCAGTCTTATTTGTGGAATCTTTCTTCAATTTCAGTGTCATATTGAAATACATGCTCTACTAGTTGCTGTTTGAAACTTGTAACAACCCGGATGTCAAAAATACCTCAGAATACATAATATCATCCCAATACAACGCAATAGAAATTAAAACTTAAATAATTGGATATATATAGGAATCTGATAGCCAAATCTTTGAAATTCAACATAACAATAAAAAATGATCTCGCATATTTCACTCAGATCATGAACTTCATCCTCGAACAAATCTTGAAATCTCAAAGCTTTTACATGCTTTAAATTGCATTATCTCTCAAAACAAGGTTAGACCTATAGCCCTAGTGAGCTTCTTGTTATTTTATGCATATTGATGTCAACAAATAATAAATAAAAATTCAAAAAAAAATCATTTTATAACATTTGTGTTCAAATAGGTATGCATACTCGTCAAAACACTTTAACTTACAGATAACCACGTACGGTTGTCGCAAACATTACAAGCATGTGATAAACTCACACTTCACTCGTTATTGCTCAAACAATATATACCCTTTGTGCTAACAAGAAACAAAATCCTTGTGCACAAGTGACTTTCCCATGTGGACCATTATAGTCCCGTGACGACCCCACTTATACAATATAAGTTAACCCTATCCACACATAAAACATACATATACTTGCATGCTTAAAATCAATCGCTATAGCATTTATTAAAGCATGAATAAGAACATTTCATGTAATCCATGTAAAATATAGTACATGGAACTCACACGAGGTCAAAAATCCTTGAACCATGCTAGAAAAATAAAATAAAAAATAATTGACCTTGTTATGACCGAAAACCCCATATGTGAATCCAATAATATCCTATACCAATTGTATGATGTTCCTACCAGATGGTTTCACGAGCCTAAATTATATCCCATTTGTGACCATTTGTAACAGATGTCATACTAACGTCTTAATCCCAGTTATAAATAATTTATGGCCTATTGGATATATACATATTTATAAACTTTCATCTATATTTTAAACACTTGCCTAAATTAATCAAGTAAAATCTTAACTCATTGAGTAACACTTGATTAAACTGACACCTAACTTGTACAAAAATCACCAAACTATATGTATTGGGTCATACGCTGAATAAAACCCAACCCAATCCGATTGACCAACTCACACTCCTTGTTTAGATTTTTGACTTAAGAGCTGTTGGTTAGTTGAATGTTTGGTTTATTCGATAAACCATATATGATTGTTTGGTTTTGACTTGTTTAATTAGTCTAGGAAGGAAAGCCCTCTCCGTTAATCCAAACATTTTCCGTTGAAGGAAAAGAAAACCCAAGAAGATAAACAAAAGACCTCTCAAACTGATAAACCATCCTTGAAATATGGAGGATCCAGTTCTAATTGATGTCTTTTAAGGTTTCTCACTCTCCAAGTGTTGTCATGAAATTGGAACCAATTATTTGGTCCCTAATGTTGCTCTACCTTTACTCACTTATTTAGAATTTGAATTTGAATTTGAAGGAAAGGGTTGAGTTCACGTAAGACAAGATTGTTTTTATAAGACACATTTTTTTTACATTTGAAGCTTTATAACAAAATGTTGTGAAGGTAAAAAGAAGCCGAACATTCACAGCAAAAACACTATGAATGTTACTTTCACAACAAAAACACTGTGAAGGTTACCTTCACAGCATTTTGCTGTGAAGTTTCAAGTGTAAAAAACTTGTCTCATGTATCTCACGAAAACAACTTTGTCTCACATGATCTCAAGTCTTGAAAGAGATTGGCATGTGAATATGTTTATAATCCTCGTTTCTACTCACTTTTAAATAAAATGTAAGCCATATATTAACATTCTACATTTTTTGTCATTCAATATCAACATATGTATCAAGATATTACTTTAACCTGTCTTTTCCTTTTTAACCCAACAACAAACTATTTATTAGGACCACAAATGAACATCAATTTAACATAATCTATACAGACAACTAAATGCATATTGACAACTTATACATCCAAAAACATGTTCATCTGGTGAGAAAAATTACCCGGTAAGTACTTACCAGGTAAGCGTTTTGTAAACGACCCCTTAATGAACCAATCGAATATCCCTTAGTGGTTGTTCGATGTAAGCGTTTACCCTAAGAGCATCTCCGATGAACCAACAAATCACCAATTTTACCCCTGATTTGCCTCAAACCAACTGCTAAAACATCAAGGTTGTGGAATTTGAATAGCAATAATGTCGTCTGGGTATTCAACGGCCTACCATTTTCCCAAGAAATTATATTTGCATATTTAGCCGTTACAATGATACAAAACAAGTAGGATTAATGAATCTGGAATTAGAAGATTGATGCTTATTTTTCATGATTTTGCTATTTGAAACTTTGATGTTTTAAGTATGTCACAACAGAAACACCAGGCGAGCCAGTCATGAGTTTCGCTAACCATGGCGTCTGCCACCGTGAATATGCTTGCCTCGCTGCTTCAATCAGCCGTCTCCACCCGTTCCTCCGTCGTTGGTCGGGCAACCCATGCGAAGATCATCAAATCAGTCGACTTCCCCTTCCCTACCTTCATCTGCAACCACCTCGTCAACATGTATTCCAAACTCGACCTTCTTGATTCAGCCCACCTCATGCTCTCCCTCATCCCTGCCCAAAATCGCTCCGTCGTCACCTGGACAGCTCTCATTTCCGGCTCCGTCCAAAACGGGCACTTCTCCGCTGCCATCCACCAGTTCTCTAATATGCACCATGACTCCATCTCACCCAATGACTTCACCTTCCCTTGCGTATTCAAAGCTTGCAACTCGTTAAGGTCTCCAAGAACCGGTAGACAGCTCCATGCACTTGCTATTAAAGCAGGTCAGATACATGATGTATTTGTTGGATGTAGTGCTTTTGATATGTACTCTAAAACTGGTCTCAAGGAGGACGCCAATAAGATGTTCGATGAAATGCCTGAGAAGAATCTTGCGACGTGGAATGCTTATATATCCAATGCTGTCCTTGAAGGGCATCCTCGTAAAGCCATTGATGCTTTCATCAAATCGAGAAGATTAGGCGGAGAGCCCAGTTCAATAACGTTCTGTGTGGTTCTAAATGCTTGCTCTGATGCCTTCTATTCACAACTCGGTAAACAAGTTCATGGGTTTGCGATACGATATGGGTATGAACGTCACGTGTCTGTTGCAAATGGGATGATCGATTTTTATGGAAAGTGCAGGGAGATAAGCTCCGCTCGCCTAGTCTTTAACGACATTTCCAGTCCTAATGATGTTTCTTGGTGTTCCATGGTGGCTGTTTATGAGCAAAACGATCAAGGAGAAAAGGCTTGTATGCTCTTTTTGCAAGCAATGAAAAACAATATCGAACCTAAGGACTTCATCATTTCAAGTGTCCTTAGCGCTTGTGCTGGGATTGCAGGTCTGGAAATGGGAAGGTTGGTTCATGCACTTGCTGTCAAAGCCTGTATCGATTTCAATGTTTTTGTTGGAAGTGCACTTGTTGACATGTATGCTAAATGTGGAAACATAGAAGATTGTGAACGAATGTTTGATGAAATGCCCGAGAGAAATCTGATCACTTGGAATGCGTTACTTGGTGGTTATGCTCATTTGGGCCATGCAGACATGGCTCTTGCCTTATTTGAGGAAATGAAATCTGAAAAGCTCGAGATGGTACCTAATTACGTTACTTTTGTGTCTGTTTTAGCAGCATGTAGCAGGGCAGGAGCAGTGAAGATGGGTATGGGTGTTTTTGACTCGATGAGATCGAGATATGGAATCGAACCAGGGGTCGAGCATTATGCATGTGTGGTGGATATGTTAGGGAGAGCAGGAATGGTGGAGCGTGCTTATGAGTTCATAAAGACAATGCCGGGCCGTCCTACGGTGTCTGTATGGGGGGCTCTTTTGGGTGCTTGTAAAGTCTATGGACACAATGAGCTAGGGAAGATTGCTGCCGATAATTTGTTTCAACTGGATCCTCAAGACTCCGGAAACCATGTCATCCTTTCAAATATGTTTGCTGCTGCTGGCAGGTATAAATCTTCTTGTTGGAGTCCCACCTTGGCTAGAGGTGGACCATTTCTCTTCGGTTATATGTTGGAATCTCCCTTCTTTCTTGAAAGGCTCATTTGGAGATCTCTATGTATTTCTACATGGTCTCAGAGCCGATTTCTACCACTCTAAGGACTTCAACATTGTGGAGCACAACCTCTGTCTCCGTTGGAGCCTTGGAGAGGAGGCATGTTGGAGTCCTTCATTAGCTAGATTTGGACCATCTCCGTAATATATGTTGAAACCTCTTCTTTCTCTTTTTGAATGACTTCTTTAAATAGTAATCTAAAAGTGTTCCACATGTCATCACAACTATCAAAACCACTCATAATAATCTACAACAATCTTCCTTTAAATGTTATTTTGTTCTCAGTTCCAGCATTGTCCCAGTCTAACATACGCATCCCAAAGGAAATAACTGGCCAATTATGCATTTGATTCAGGTGGGAGGAAGCGAATGTGGTGAGGATGGAGATGAAGGATGTGGGTATCAAGAAGGGTGCAGGCTGCAGTTGGATATCTGTAAAGAATTCAGTTCACGCATTTCAAGCAAAGGATACATCTCACGAAAGAAACTCGGACATCCAAGCAATGCTAGCTAAGTTGAAAAGAGAAATGAAGGCGGCGGGCTATATAGCCGACACCAAATTGGCTCTCTTCGATTTAGAAGAAGAAGAGAGAGAATCAGAAGTTTGGCACCACAGCGAGAAGATAGCGCTTGCATTCGGCCTATGTGTAATCCCGACAGGAGTTCCTATTAGGATAACCAAGAATTTGAGGATCTGTTTAGATTGCCATAGCGCCATTAAGTTCGTTTCGGGAATTACAGGTAGAGAAATAATCGTAAGAGATAATAATCGATTTCATCGGTTTAAAGATTATGAATGCTCCTGTAGAGATTATTGGTGATCGAACTGTTGCTGATAGTAGAAAATTGAAGGCTTTGCATAATGACCAAGGGTATAGTACATTTGATGCATAGATGTTATGTTATTTATTGTATCTCTACCTCCTTTAATGTTTTTGTAGTTGTTTGGTTTATATATTTATTCTTTATTTTTATAATATAAATTGTTTATATTAGGAGAATTAAGGGGATATTTACCCAATCGCTTATCTGGTAGGTGCAGTGACGAAACCCGGATGAGAGTTGAGGAGGAGCATCGATTATAAATAAAATAAATTAAAAAACTAATATTATTTTTTTGAAAATAACAAAAACAATTATATTATATCCTTGAAACATCAACCTATACAGTTTCAACGGTAAACTTGATGAGTTTTCATTTTATAAAACTTATTTATATGATGTCTTCATTATTTACCTCAATAAAAATATTGACTGTTTTTTTTTTCTTATCTGTTATAGATGACGAACCACCGGTTATTTTTCTCTTTATTCAATACTTGTATTATTCACGACTACTAAATGTCATGCTCTTTAGCATATAAAAAAACTAAAATCAAACAATCAACAAATAACAATTACCAATATATAAAGGGGTGGGCTAAATGCACCCCTATGCATTGCTTAATGCACCCCTATCCATGAATTTTTTTCTCACACACATCAATATCAATACATGCTTTTTACATTCCCAATGCTTGAATGACCTGATTCTGATATGAAATGAGTGCCATTAGCACTCCCCTATATAAATGGCAAACCTGGCATCAAATCAATCAACTCATTAAATAAATTAAATAATTAACTAACGAATTAATAACTAATATTTAGTGACAAACCCAAACGATTAATAATTAATGGTAAGAAAACCATTTTCGACAAGTCCTAACTTAAAAAAATCTTAATTAATGATAAACAAATCTATTTTCTAACAAAAACCCAATATAAATTAAGAGTTTTTTAATTAATAAACCTTTTTTTAAGTATATAATATTTATACACGGCAAATAAAATAAATAAACTCACATCCTCATTACATTTGTGAAAATAATGTAACAAAAAAAATTTGCAACTATTTAGGTGAACATCAATGATCAAGGGACAGAACGAAAAAGAAACAAAATAAGGATGTTGATAGAATTACGAGACTGTGGTATTTCGAGCATTGTTTGTTGACTTTCTTTTTCGTTTGTTTTTGGTGTTAAAACCATACAAAGCAACAGATTCGTAGGTGTTTAAGTTTAGCCATTGTTCTCTGTTTCTCTCATTGGATCGTAAACAACTATTAGATGGTATTGTTCTTAAACTCTTGGACTAGTAATGAAGTTTGGTTTTAATTTGTATAAGATTTAGAATCAGACTTATTTGAATGTTGATATATTATAAGTGTTCCGTTTTATTATTTGGGAATTGAGTTACATTTTAGATTTCTCGGGCAAAGTATAAGCATTTCATTAAGAACGATATGTAACAAATATCGTTAGCTCTGAATATTGATTTCGTATTCATATTATTTATTTAGTTGATACCTAGCCATAAAGTTTATATTTTTATTAGTTTAGTAGTTTAATTAACTCCAAGGTTCAATATTCTAAAGTAGTGTTATTTGTAATAATTGGATTTCGGTTTTTAATTAGCTGTTTTTTCAGCTTAATCGATAAATTAAGTAGTGGCACACGTGCATTCAGTTAACACAGATAATTTGCTTGACCACTACTCCCTAAAAATGAATTACACTTACTTATCCCTTTACATTCACCGAATCAAGTAACATCATATTTAAATAACTTGCTTTCACAACTTGTATTATTTTGACCATAAATAAATTAAAATGAATAACACAATTAAAGGAAATAAAAAATATCTTAAAAACTTGTTAAGACATCAAAAAACGTTTTATAAAAGAGTAATATTTAAAAGTGGTGTAGTGGGTTTATAAAACGTTTTTTGATGTCTTAACAAGTTTACTTTACAAACCACGTTATTTATACAAACGGTTCAAACCTCATTCAACCAATCATAATTTTTCATTTTGTTCATTTTTTGTAATTATGAGAGGTTGATTAATTATTTTTATTGTGCAAGGTGTTAATCATGGATATTATCATCTTCATTATTTTAATTTTAGAGAAATATATGAAACAGTTTCATTAAAATTTCATAACCATATATGAAACAACTTTATCAAAAAAAACATTATATGAAACAATTTCACAACATTAAACAATTTCATGAAAAAATTTCATAAGATTAAACAATGAAATCGACGAATAAAAATGGTTTGTATAAATTGGATGATTTAAATATGACGGTTTCTACATATAAAAAGTATGATTAGATGTAGGGTAAGTTGATGGTTATAGGTTAATATAGGATAACAAGTGTGAGCTCCAAAAACTTTGGGGTTCCATGGTGTCGAGTAGTCCCTTTTTCATGCCATGTGGACAATGCAAGGGATAGAAACACAACACACCAATCCTATCAATACCTTGATCCAAATCGAAATTCATAAATTTCGATTAATTTGTTTCAAAAATCATTTTTTAAATTATATTTAAACTCGATAGATTTTTTTAAGTGACGACACAATTTAACTAGAAACTATGGATATTGTTTACAAAAATCATTATTGGTCTATTGGTTATTTTCTTGCTTTTCGAATGAGTGGTTTTACGTTCGGGTTTTTTTATCCTAGATTTTTATAGAAACATAATAAACCTGAAATTAGAATTTAAAATTTAAGAAAATAATACACATAGAACTCGAACCCACATCTAGAAATGGAGAGATAACCGTGTAAAACGACTACCAAAAAAAGCTTGTAATATTGTTGTAGTTTTAAGATATATAGTTAAACCCAACAAAATAATACGATAACATGTTTTATGACCTATTCTATTTTACAATACGACAGAAGAGTGAAGCAGTGGGCCGATGACCCGTATCACCATATAAGCCATAGTGGGTCGTCCCTGATTATACCCTTGCATCGTTGAATCACTTTTAAAAAAATGTGAAAATGGAGAGATGGTTTGACAAGTGTATGTAAAATTAATCACTTGATAAGGGTCGATTATAACAATTATTATTATAGCATACATCCAGATACTATTTAAGGGTTTGTTTACTAATTGCTCATCGTCTTTTACGAGTAAAAGATATTTCTTTGGTAAGAGGTAAAGTTGTTTCCATACACTTCGATTGATAAATGATACTGAATGAGACATTGACCCGGTAAAAAAGGAAAAACTCTCTGGCTCGATCAACAGTTACCCATTTTATACTTTTATACGTTTAACGGAATAATGGTTAGTTAATTTGTGTTGATAAACGGTCCCTAAAAATTGCATACGAATACTCCAGGATTATTTGTTTACCTCTTAATAGTTCAATTAAACGACATCATCTGAATTGTTAAGAGATGAATCTTGTTTAGCAAAAAAACTTATGCTTCTTAATTATTCTAAAACCTTTTTATTGATGGTTTCTGAATGATTTTGTAATGTCATTTTCCTAATTTTTAACTTTTAATTCTAAATTTATTATGTTTCTGAAATTTTTTTACACGTAAAAGATTTTAACACAACACCTCACATATGAAAAGTAATAAACCAACCAACAGACCAATTATGATGTGAGAAATATCCCGATATTTATTTCTTATATCTTATCATCGAGAGAAGGATAAATGATTATACGAAATCATAACATGAATATTTGACATAAAAATGTACCAACCATTTAATCATTTATTTGCAATTTTTAATAATTCAACCAATTTACCATTCAAGTTCTTAAAAATCCAACCACTTACATACTTTCAGGGAAATTATGTAAAAAAGTCAAAAACTTTTAACTTTTAAAAATACAACATTTATAAGCAATAAATATGAAGAGTTGTATTTTTATGTATCTGAAATCCAAATTTTAACAACTTTTAAAATTTAAAAATACAACATTTATGTACATAAAATTAAAAATAAACATCAAGTAATCAATTATAAACATTATTAACAGAATAACAAATTTTTGTAAATTTATTTAGAAATACTGTAATGCAAGATTATAAATCAAAAATCTTAAATCTAAACTAAAAAAAAACCCTACCCATCCGAAAATAAGATTCAAGAGGAAGAAAACTAGATTAGTTTTATTGTTTCGATGTGGATGAACACATTCAAGAATTTGCTTCAAAGATTGAGAGTGGATGGAGATCGCGGGTCTACTTCTTCTTTTAATTGAAGGAATGGGATGAAGGTCGAATCTGGATTTGGATCTTGACGAGATCGTGGATTTGAGGGGGAGGTACACCGGAGAAGATGGGGAGGGGGAGGATACGGAGAATTTTTTTTGAAAGCCAAGGAGGTTAAGATGGTGGTTTCTCCAGATGATAGGGTGGTTTCTTTGCCGATGGTTATCGCAAGGGGACGACGATCTGGTAGGAGTTCGCCGGTGGATCTGGAATTTAAAATGGTCCATATTTTTTTACGTATGTACATAAATATATATATATATATATATATATATGGGAAAAGTATAATAAAAACCAATGGACTTTCTTGTTTGGATTGATTAAGTCCTTGGACATTCCAAAATATGTTAAATAAGTYCTTGGAYAATTTTTGGAACAAWTAAGTCCTTGRACAWTCCAAAAMATGTTAAATAACTTCTTGAACTTTTATAAAACATGTTGGATACATTCTTATGACTTGAACAACTAGTTAAAGTGGTAAAATAGTGAAAAAAAATCCGGAAAAAACCCAATGAACATTCATATTTTGAACGATAAAGTGGTAAAATAGTGAAAAAAAACCGGAAATATATTTTGTCAGTGATTTTTTAAACTAAAAAAAATAAAAAAAATTATAAAATATATTATTTTTAATTAAAATAAATTTCACCAGTAATCTTTTTAAATCTTTTTTTAATTTAAAAAATCACATACATGATATATATATATTTTTAATTAAAATAAATTTAATAATAATTATTTTTTTTTGTTTGAAAAATTACTGACAGAATATATTTTAACTTTAATTAAAATAAACTTTATCAAAAATCTTTTTTAAATG